TAGTAGTCAGGCCACAACCAAACGGTCTCTCTGAGCCTTGAGGCAGCTCTTCCAGATAGTCCAGGGGCTCAGAAACCAAGCCACAGTTTGTTGTCCTCCGCCCAGGACCCTCCAGGATCTCTCAAGAGGCTGGGGGAAGGCTAGGGGGACCTAGGCCCTCCCTCTCCACTGGGTCCCAGTGCAGTGCCCAAGGGGAGAGAGGTGTGGGGTGGCTCAGTTCCTTCTGACTGTCACTCATAATCAGCCTCCCCTGGGCTGATTCCTATATTCCCTGTTTTCCCTTCCATCCATGTGGGGCATGGCCCTAGCCTTCTGCTTACACCGTACCAGTAGTTCAGGGCTTCAGCTGTGAGGAGAAGGTGGATGCTTCCCAGCTCATCCTTACAGTTCAGTTGTCCCCCACTTAGTCAGTGGGAAGGGCGATCCCAGTCAAGTCTTACTCACAGTCACAGTCACAGTCCTTGACCTGTAGCTTGCTCTGCCTCCATGGCTGCAGCCTGTCTGCCTTCTTTCAGCCAGCCTCTCCCCCATGGTCTCGCTTGCCAGACTGGCAGAGCTCCCTTTTAAGCAGGCCCTTCATAGGGAGCATGCCTGACAGCTGCTGAGAGGCAGGGTCTTCTTGGCCCAATACTGATCTGCCACTCCTTTTGCCTTCATGTGGGGTCTGTAATCCCATCACAGCACCTTATGCTTTATTTATTTGTTTTGATTTGTATAAACTACAATACAAGAGCACCCAGCCAGATCTCTGCCCACCCTTGAGCACCTTTTAGAAATATATAAATAATAAATGACCTGACACTTACCCCAGTTCAAATAACCAGTGACAGCAACAAACTAATCAGCCTTCCCACACATCCCACACCACCACCACTCAGTTCTGCACAACACACTTCTCCTCACAGCCAAGGGAGAAAAGATGGGCCTGGAAGTATGCCCCAAGGCCCAGGACTAACCAAATGAGGTTGTTACAGACCTGGGTAAGAAACAAGATCCAAAGCTGAGGAGCACTAATGGAAAACATCTTGCCAGCCCCCCACTATCTTTTATAACAATTGGGCTCTTGCACAGGTGCCTGGACTAACCACTATGTAGCAGCATGGCATGGGGGAGAGAAGCAGTCTCTTAGATAGGTAGGTCCTATGATGAAGTTTCAAGTTGATGAGGAGAGGGAAATTCTGCCCCACTTAAACTGGATATAGTGGATAGGGGAGGGCTGAAGGACAATATGATACAGTTATACTTGCATTTGTCATCTCTTTTGACACCATTAATCAATAAGTACCAACTTCTGTTTTGTCTTAACTCCTTTGACTTCAATTGAGCTACACCAGATTTACTCCAGTGTACCCGAGAGTATATTTTGATTCTAATAAAGTGAATTTCAGCAGTCAGGACTTTTCCAATTGGACCCTGAAATTCTGGTTTTGGATTTCACCAAATGTAAGGTCATAAATCTAGGAACAAAGAATGTAAGCCACACTTCCAGGATGGGGGACTCTATCCTGGGAAGCAGTGACTCTGAAAAAGACTTGGGGGTCATGGCAGATAATCAGCAACTATGAGCTCCCAGTGCAATGCTCTGGTCAAAAGGGCTAATGCACTCCTTGGACGTATAAATGGGAATCTCGGGTAGGAGTAGGAAGACTATATTACCTCTGTAATTGGTACAAGTGCAACCAGTTCTGGTGTCCACACCTCAAGGAGGATGTTGATAAACTGGAGATGGTTCAGAGAAGACCAATAAGAACGATTAAAGGATTGGAAAATATACCTAACAGTGATAGACTCAATCTACTTAGTTTATCAAAGAGAAAGTTAAGGGGTGACTTGATGACAATCTATAGATGCCTACATGGGAAACTGAAATTGGATTATAGAGGGCTCTTCATTCTAGCAGACACAAGGATAACAAGAACCGGTGGCTGGAAGTTGAAGCTAGGCAAATTCAGACTAGAAATAAAAGGCATTTTTTTAAAAAGTGAGGGTAATTAATCATTGGAACAATGTACCAAGGGCTGTGGTGGATTCTCCATCACTGGTAATTTTTAAATCAAGACTGGGTGTCTTTCAAAAAGTTATGCTCTATTTTAACTACAGCTATTGGTCATGAAGCAGAAATTAGTACAGGGAAATACTATGGCCTTTGTTATACAGAAGGTCAGACAAGCTGATAACAGTGGTCCTTTCTGGCCTTAAAATCTATGAATCTATGAATAAGTTACTGTTCTAATTAGTATACTGAGGCAGGCTTTTGCTCTCTCTTGAACACATATAAACAGTACATTTTTTGAACAGTGCAAGCAAGCCAGTTTGTGTAAGTCTGCTTCCCAACATGGTATGTACCTTGTTTCAATTTGAAAGAATTCTTAATTATATCCGCAGAATGGTACATTTGATTCAAGCTATTCAGTAGTTAGCATGCTCAAGACATTACAATCCTCTACGGCAAGACTGTGGCTTAGTGTCTGATTCATAAATTATTGGGCTTTAGTGCCTCAGCCTTCTGAATTCAGCTGTTACTAGCTCAAATTCCACCCTCAGGGTGGGGCTAAGTAGAGCTATTCCCATTTAAGAGGACAGTGAATTTCTGCTTTGTGCTGTGAGAATATTTTGTAGTCCTTTAGGGCCAGATTGTGAACCCCTTATTCTTACTGGTGAGCAGTTACTCACAGGGGCTAAGATTGTAACATAGCTGCACTGCCTCAGGAGCAGACTAGGGATTGAATTATGACTCAGATGATCACAGTTCCCCCTTGCTATGGGGATGAGTTAATAACTTCATCCTTTTAATGGAGCAGTTTACACTTTCTGTGCACCTGGCCAGCTACTCTGGTTGACAAGTGGGGAGGGGGGGCACAGAAGCAGGGTTCTTTCCACTCTGCCTACTTTAAGGTTTTATGCCACTGCCCATCAGTGTAGTATCTTTCTTGTAAAATCAATTAGAAATATCAAAGACCCTGGTGGACTTCATGGAGACTCTGGCTCCATCCCCTCCCTGCCCCCCTACAGAGGAGAGTGTTGCACATGTAGCTCTTTGTCTTCCCTACTCCTCAGCTGGGGACACAATCTGAGCAGGGCCATGCAGGGGAGTAAGGGTGAGGGGCAGCTTATTTCTACTTGCTTAGAATCATAGAAATGTAGGGCTGGTAGGCACCTCAAGAGGTCATGTAGTCCAGCCCCCTACATTGAGGCAGGACCAGGCAAACCTCCTAGACCAGTGGTCACCAACCGGTCGATCCTGGGGACTCTCCCAGTCGATCGCAATCTCGAGCGGTGTAGCAGGGCTGCCACTAAGGCAGGCTCCCTGCCTGCCGTGGCCCCAAGCCACTCCCAGAAGCGGCCAGCATGCCCCCGCAACCCCTGGAGGGGCAGGGGTCTCCACGTGCTGCTCCTGCCTGTAAGCACTGCCCCCGCAGCTCCCACTGGCTGGGAATGAGGAACTTTGGCCAATGGGAGCTTTGGGGGTGGTGCCTGCAGAGAGGGGCAGTGCGCAGAGCCACATGCCCCCCGTCCTCTCTCCCAGGGGCCACAGAAGCACATTGGCCCCTTCCGGGAGCAGCGTGGGGCCGGGGCAGGCAGGGAGCCTGCCTTGGCCTCACTGTGCCCCCAACAGGGAGCCGCCCGCAGTAAGTGCCACTGGCGGGAGGCTGCACCCCAACCCCCAGCCCTGAGCCCCCTCCCAAAGCCAGAACCCCATACCCCTCCTGCACCCCAAACCCCCTCCTGCACCCTGAGCCTCCTCCCAGAGCCAGCACCTCGCACCTCCTCTTGCACCACAACACTCTGCCCCAGCCCAGAGTCCTCTCCTGGACCCAAACACCCTCCCAGAGCTTCCACCCCTCATCTCCTCCTGCACCCCAACCCCCAGCCCCAGCCCAGAGCCCGCACTCCCTCCCAAACCCAAACCCCTTGCCCCAGCCGGGTGAAAGTGAGTGAGGTTGGGGGAGAGTGAGTGATGGGGGGGGGGGGAAATGAAGTGAGTGGGGCGGGGCTTTGGGGAAGGGGCAGGGCCTCATGGAAGGGGCGGGGTAGATCCTGGGTTGCCCTTAAATTCAAAAAGTGATCGTGGGCGTAAAAAGATTGGAGACCACTGTTCTTGACCATCCCTGACAGATGTTTGTCCAACCTGTTCTTAAAAACCTCCAGTGATGGGGATTCCACAACCTCCCTTGGAAGCCTATTCTAGAACTTAACTATCCATATAGTTAGAAAGTTTTTCCTAATATCTAACCTAAATCTCCCTTGCTGCAGATTAAGCCCATTACTTCTTGCCCTACCTTCAGTGGACATGGAGAACAACTGATCATGATCCTCTTTATAACAGCACTTAACACATTTGAAGACTGTTATCTGGTCCCTGCTCAGTCTTCTTTTCTCATGCACGCACAGTTTTTTTTAACTTTGCCTCACTTCCTTGCATGACTGAGTAAGGGCTGTGATAACTTATCACCTAACACCTGTGTGAGGTTTAATACTTGGGATCACCTATTAAAAGAGAATAAGCAGCTGTTTAAGGATGTGGAAAGCAGCACGTTCTGTTATTAACAGTTTACTAACACATCGCGGGGCTTTTTTGGAGTTTGTGACTAATAGCTAAACACCCTGCAGAGTAATAAAACCAGATTCTTTCTTTGTTTCCACAAAGAATATAATTCCTTTGCCTCACTAATTTAAATATTAATAAATTACCAGGAACCTAATGAAGATAATGCTCAGCAGGAACTCAAGCAACCCACCTAGAAACTGGAATAAACTAGGAAGAATCTTTCATTGTAATCCCAGCTACAGCGGCATTTCCATTTTGTGTCAGTCCCTTCCTCTGGAACCAATAACAGCTGCATCAAATGGCTGCCAGAGGGCACTGCTCAATGGTGTTGCCTCTGCATTGTTCTCCACAAAGTGAATGCCCCTCGCAACCTCCTTTTCGCTGGGGACCAAGATTCCTAGTAACACCGCCAGCCTCCAACATAGTACTGTGATAGGAGCTGGGAACAAAATATTTGTTATTATTTATTCGTCCCCTTTCACAATCTTTTTCCAAATAAATTAGTCGATAAACATTTTTTTCTTACTATTTCCCACAGACTGGTCAGCTGCAAGGTCAATTAAAATAGAGATACAGTTGGGAAACATTCATTTGATGAATTTCACCAGATATTTAGATTAAAGCATTTAACCATTTTAAAAAATCTTTTACTGTGCTCTAATCGCGAAAATAGTGGTGTCACCACCAGTGTTTCTAGATAAACCTTAAATCTGAAGAATACCACAGAGCAAGACTCTCTAGCTAGCCTGCCCTTCCTGGAGTACTTAAAAGGCCGTTTCTCTGTAATTAAATGTATTGAAAACCAAAGTACCAAAGGCGTTTAGGCACAGCTTGACGCATCAGGAAACAGCACCTCTGGGCACCATTCCCACCCTTCTTCCCCCCCTTTACTGCTGGTCTACAACAGCAGCATATCATAACATTCTGCCCAATGGCTCAGCTGCACCGGCTGCCGTATTGTGAGTGTGTGTAAACAAAGCCCCTCTCAACACAACTAGTCCAAGTAGCCCGCATGACAGGTGTAAGGCAGCGACTAGCTGTTGCCTGGGCTTGTAGTGACAATCTGCCCCCCATGTTTTTTTATGGAAATTGGAGAGACTACCCAACCGACAGTAGAACCAAACAACCAAATTAGATCCTGATCTGGTGCAAAACATCAGAGCTCTATTAAGATCAGTGAAGCTCTGCTGTTTTACACCAGATGAGGATCTAGCCCATGATGTCTAAACAAAAGATCCCATAATCTGACTACTGTACTTTGAATAAATGAGAAAAATGGGTTTCCACAAAAAAAGGCACCATTCTGCTCTGTGCCACCTGAGTTCTGCCATAAGAGCAGAAAAGATGATGGAAATTAAAGTAATTGCTACATCACAATGGTAGAATAATTCCAAAGTGTGAATTTGAGTGAAAATGTCCCGAGTCTCAGCCATTTAGTACAGGCTAGAAAGTGAGGGTAACCAGCTAAATGGAATATTCAAGCCTTTACTAAAAATTAGCATGCTGTTGAGATGTGAGTGACATAATCCATTCAAAGAAAGGCAAGATTCCATAGTTCAGTAAAAAGGCATCACTGAATTTCCAAGTGAACGGTATGGGAACGACATATTGTACATCTCTCTTTTATCCTCCTATTTAGTTTATGCCACAGTCTGGCCCAAAGTGCACCATTAAGGAAAGCTAAATTGCACGTAGGTAGCTAGCCAATTTAGCTGCATAATAGAAAGAGTTCTAAAAATGCACATAGGCTGAATTAAGGGCTCCACAGGAGCCTTTGGCTCATTCCTTGAAGAATCTATTAGTTGCTGTTGCACACATTGTAAGGTTTGCAGGAAGGAGCCCAGCTCTGAGGCTTCTCAGCACACCACAGCTTCTAAGGGTTGCAGGGAAGTGTGTCACCCCCTGCTGACCTCCTAAGGGGTTGTGGAGAAGGATTCCCTCCTGAGGAGCGTTGGATAGGGCTTGCCAATGTTTTCTAGTCAAATAGTTTTTGATCATCAAATTGACTCACACAATTGCCATTGAATATCTAAGGTTATAGAGAAAAAAAGAGGACATTCTGCATTATTTGAGAAACAGCATATGATCATGTAATTCAGGACAGGATCATAATACAAGGGGTATTGTATCTGCAAGGGGTGGGGAGTTAATTTGGATTGCTGCTGGACTGGAAGCAACAGACAATCTATCTCACCACATCTTCTAAGAGGTCACTGCTTTCCTGCCAGTTAGAGATGCCATTAGTACTCATAACCGCTGTGGAATGAAGCACTGGGTACTAGAAGAAACCAACATATAATCTTTATGTTTCTCCATCAATCCAAGACTTCTTTGCACTGAGTTACAAAGTGCAAATTCTACCCATGCTCTCGGGTTGAATTTCAACCAGAACTAGTATCAAGCAAAAGAACTTTCCCTAATATTAGAACTCTACCCCCTCCACTCTAGGAATACAAGCACCTACACTCATGCACGCAGGCACAAACACACACAGCAGTTATCTCCAGTTACACAATGTAGGTCCAAATCCTGCTTCCCTCCTCACTGGAGTAGTCTCATTGCTTTCATTGGGACTATTTGCAGGCAAGCAGGATTTGGTCTATCATGTTGTAGATTTCATATACAAATATTTAGAAAATTGAGGGCTGCAGAAGAATTACATGTTCGTGCACTTTATATTCATAATAAACATTTTTAATTAAAAATCTCATTATACAGCAATTTTTCACTATTTAAAGTATGTAAATCACAGATAATGTTTGAAAAAGCCAATCATCAAACATACCTACAAAATGTCCAGGTAAAAACTTGATATAAAAAATCTACACCATATGTTTTATTATATAATTTTGGCATACCTTTAGTTAGTAGTTTAACTATATTATTTTGGCTTACAGAACCATGCAACGAAAGAACACAGATTTCAGAATATAGAAGAATACAGCTTTCAAATGTTTACATAGCAGCAAAACATATCATGTTGACATTTAAGCTATTACATGTAGATACTAGCCCCAAATCATTATTCACTGGAATCATCTTCTCTACTGCCCAGTTCATGTGGATACTGCATGAACAACTGTACTCTATTTTTAAGTGCAGAAGTGTTTGTTCATATTAAAGCAAAGGAAAGTTTTGGAAAGGGGGAGAGGAGGTGGATTAAATTACCCTGTTGAACACTTGTTTTCCTCTGTCTTTACCATTCTCCACAAGGACTTTTTTGACAGTGGCACAAAGTAAATGGCTAAGACAAACGTAGAAAATCCAGATTTGACCCATTTTTATGTTGTTGGTGGTTTTTTGCCCTCCTGTGTTTGCAGGGAGATCTAATGCTGCAACTAATGTTATGTGGAGAACCATTCCATGTAGTACCTAAAGAACTTAAAGAAATTGGATAGGAATGAAAGTTATTTTTTTCCTATAGTGAGTTTTATGTCCCATAGGAACGTCTCAATTAAACATGTAACTTAAGCAATTCTGGAAGTGCCTCTACAAATGCTATATAGTAGTAATGGCAATAATGTACATAATTTGTGTTCCAGTTTAAAAGTTTTATCACAATCCCAGTACACCAATTATTAGATGTGTGATAAGTCAGAGTGCAGTTGAATAGTACGCCCTACTAATAGGAAGAGCATTCCTGCAAACAAAGCAAAAAATATTCCTATAGGAGCCAGTATGAAAGACCAGCCATAGTGCACATAAGCAACGAAGTCTGGGCAATCAATTTTTTTCATATTCATGTAGTTTTCCAGATCAGCCATTGCCTGGACCCAGATGACATACATCACGACCACCAGTGAAAACAAGATGCCTGAAAAAGAAACATCAGAGTTTTACTGTTAAGGGATATGAAATAAATAATTATTATATTTACCGATTATGGTATCACCTCGGAACCAGTCTATGATCGAGTCCTGTTTGCTAAGCAGTGTTAGGTATCTTCACATATTTGTTGCCTACTACTGCTCTGAGCAGTATTAACGTCCCCTTTTTGTTTCTGGACTGCACCAGAGGGGCATAGGGAAGCATCAGCCCAAAGGGAGCCAATTGCAAGAGCACTGCTGGTTCTGGGAAGCAGTTCAAAGCCACAATGAAGCAAAACAGCAAAATGTTTATGTCTTGGATTTGGCTGGGTATCCACTGTATTGTACTTGAACCTGTGAGGGCTCTAGAGATATCTCTCTGCTCCCCAAGTTCAGGGAGTGTCTAGATCTTGTGCAGGATGTCAAGAGGGTGGGGAAGGAAAGGTGGGAGGGAGATTCCTGCAATCCCGTCACCTCTTTTATATGTCCACGCCAAGGCACTTCACAATGGTGCCCAATGTCAATGGCATCATTTAGAATGTATTCAGTTCAGAGATTCCACTCAATCATTTTACGGGCAAATCCTGCTGCATCACACTGAAAAAGTCCCCAAAATTTCCCTCTAGACTAGGACTGCAATATGAAAAAAATTAAAATGTTAATAATAAAAATGAAGTAGTATGTTAATATTTACATCAGATTTACAATAGCTTCCTGAAAGGAATCCACCATAATACAAATGGCCTTTTCCCCATCACCATTCTAGAGACCCCTTGGATTGCTTACAAACGGAAAAATAGGAACACGCGTCCCGTAAACTTTATTAATCACTTTGCTACTACTTTATGTACCAGAACCAGGTAAATGGAGCCAAATGCACCACCAGTGCCTGGCTGAGGTATTGGTTACATGCCCACTACTACATTTTATTCCAATGGAATATTAGTATTTCAAAAATACGACCTTGCAGCATGGATGCCAGACTGGAGTGGGGGATCATTTGTTGAGGTAAGGACCTGATCTGGAATTTTTTGCACACTCCAAGACTCCCATTTATAACAACAGAGTTCTGGGTATACTGAGATTACAGGATCAAGCCCTCAGTTTGCTGCCTTCCAATCATTCAAATGTTAAAATGTTAGAGGGATGACTTACTGTAGCGGGGTGGTCATCCGTTCCTGCCCTGTAGGGCTTGAAATCAGCCCTGGGAGAGGGCTGAGACTGCAAGAGGGCTGCTGCTAGGAAAGCAGCAAGCCTCTGCTGATTTGGGAAACAGCCACAGCTGCGGCCATGTCCCAATCAGGCCGAAGCTGGCCCTTATAAAAGAGCAGCGGGCCAGGAGCAAACAGACTCTCTCTCTCTAGCCTTTGCGAGGGAGGAGCCTGGCTGCCGGGGAGTGTACCTGCATAGGAGCAGGGCTGTGGAAAGGCCAGAGGAGCTGGGGAGCTCTGGCCTGGAAACCCCCAGGCTGCAGGCCTAGTATGATGCTGAATAGGTACTGGGATTGCAGGGGGCAGCCCAAGGGTAGGCAGAGGCAGCAGGTCCAAACCCCTCTTGCCTGTGATGAGTGATGTATACACCGCAGTCTGCCCCAGTGAATGGGGGCTAGATGGGGACTGGGCAGTAGCCATATACTGAGGTGAGGTGGGGATAGGGGGTGGGGGTTCCCCTGGAAGGGGGAGACCCAGAGACTGTGGGGTTACTGGGTCCCAGGAGGGACACAGGGGGGCAGTGGACACTGGCCTGCAGAGGGTGCTCTGGAGGCTGGAAACACTAATTCCCAGAGATGACCAGCAGGAGGCGCCGCAGGGGTGAGTCATGCACTGTCACACCTACTTATTAAATCTCCATTCCATGATGCTTATATGAAGAGTCCACTGTTCAGTAATATTTAAAAATACTCATTTATTGGGCACTTTGCAAAAAAATGTGACAGTCAATAGATTGCACAAGAAAGAGCAGGGGAGTGGGAGTCAAAGGCTTCTTCTGTGTTTATACCGAACTCTGTTAAAGTAACATAAGCTAAAATATATTGAGACGTTGTGTGTCCAATTTGAGCAACCTTGGTACTAATTTTCATAGCTACCTTTGATTTCAATTGGCATGGCATATCCCGACACTTCTGAAAAATCAGACCAAGGATGGGCACCCAAAATCTTTTGTAAAATTTTAACCTGAACTTCTCTGTGCATCATCTGTAAAATGGGGATAATATTTACTTACTTCAGAGGTTTATTGAGAGACTTACCGTTGGTGTGACCCTTTGAAAAGACACGTGCTATGTGTTATTAAATAAATTTCCAGACAGACACTCATTTCTGGAATGTGATAGCACATTTGTGAAAACTGGAGATCAATTATTTTCTACCAGGAGCTTGGTTTTCCGGGTCTCCAAGTGTGAAGTCAATTGCTATCAAGTAGTTAAATATAAAAGGCCTAAAACCAGCTGAATTGTATTCATTAATTATTAGTCAACCCAAATTCAGAGATAGTATCAGAGGGGTAGCTGTGTTCAGAGAGTTGAGTGCACGGATATGGTGCTTTATTGTCAAAACAAAATACATTTACACTGCCTCATGTGACAGCTCACAACTGTTTAAAGTTTAAGAAAACTAGATTTTGAAGACCACCAAAAAAGAGCTAAAGTGGCTAACCCGAGGCATAATCAAACCATGACTTAAATTCCCAAAGGATCTTCAATTTTAATGAGATTGAAGGCAAGCAGAACTGCTATATAAAGAGTGAGGCAGGCCTCTATACTCACTGCCCATCTATGAAATACACATTCGGGATTACTTATTTTCCAAGTGCTTGATTTCATGACAGAGTCAAAAACCCAACTCTACAAGGTATAAATTAAATTTTGAAAATCTTTTAAGCAAAATGTTGCATAAACTCAATCTTGATTAAATGTAGTACTGATGTTGTATTAGACATACAGTACTAGTGAAACAATCTGAGATAGAGGGATCACCTCCGGGCAAAACATGCACTCGAAGAAATGAAATTGCAGATTCTCTGAATAAACGTGAAATTGAGCAAGAGAATCTTGTATCACAGTGGTTCCCAAACTTTAACAACCTGTGAACTCCCTTCACTAAAATGTCAAGTCTCACGAACTCCCTCCTAAGAATGAATATTTCCAGGGATTTTCTCCTTTACCCGAGTATAAATTATAAAAGCAGTGACCTTGGAAATATAAAATTTGTTTCTATGACATGCCTATTACTATTTATTATTAATTATTATTTATTATTACAATATTTTTATTACATTATGAAAATGGCAACACTCTTCCAAGATCTCACTTCCGTAGCTTGTATCACTTTGAATAAGCCTGTTATAAGACAAGGCTCCTATGTTTCATCAAGGAGTATCAGATGTGAAACAGCATGAAGGTATTTAAGAAGCCAACTCAAAGAGTTCCTCCTACACAAGCATTCCGGTCTTGAGCAGTCCAGGCAAACAACGCACGTTAAAAGAAAGCTTAAACTTGTTCTTCATAATTTAAAAACAATACTAGCTGCCTATTTAATTTTAAAAGCAACAAAAAATATCCACCTCCCGTTCCATTTCTTATAAGGAGTCTTGAAGTTTATATCTCCTCAGTGTGATAGATATGTTTGCTTTGATCTGCTTAGCTCTTGGAAGTCCAGGGGCTCCAGGCTGCTGGCCCCATGCTGCCCGGGGTCCCTAGGGACAGCTCTGTCTGCCACTAGGGAATTTTTTCCCGAGAACCCCCTGTAACATTTAGCGAACCCCCAGGGGTTCACGAACCCCAGTTTGGGAACCACTGTTGTAACAGAACACCTAACAATAACAGATACTGTAGCGGCCTAGTGCAAAATTGGAACCAAACAGAACTATAGAGGACACACTCTAGTATTTTTCTGTGTAACGGGAGAAAAGTCTCAGGGCCAAATACATTAATGGAGTATAGCAGAGATGGCGTTAGCCCAAGATAGTACCCAAATATTGAAAGATGCCTTAATAATAATGTGACAAAATCCATACAGAGGATGAGATTATCTCTCTGCAGATGGTCAACTGTGACTGTTCTTGGGATACCCGGGACCGGAGTCACCTTGTTACCTCCTGCCTCTAGTGAAAGGTGGCCTTGCCCATAGTGGCTGGATGTTAGCTCACTAACACCACCAGCCTGTCTGCCATTCAAGCACTAGTCTCTAAGCTATGCCAGCTCTGTCTTTGCCTTGCGGGTAAACAATAGGTGTGCCCCACATCCCTTTGAAGCGTTCCCCTCTGATATTCAGCCCCTGACACTGGCTTCTCACAGAAATCCCAGATCCTCTGCCCCCAAAGAAGCACTTCACCCTAGTCTACTAGTTTTACCTTAAATCACTGCACCTGTGTAACACACAGCACTTGTAATAAAACAAGAGAAGGTTTATTTAAGAAGGAATAGCGATTCCACTAGAACCAAATGAGTGGTAGAAACAAGTGGTTATGAAACAAAACAAAATCATAAAATGCCTACACTTATTAAGTCACCTTTCTTATGTAGTAAAGTAGGTGTTCCCCGCAATGTTCAGTCTATCGGAGAGCTGATTGGTTTTATAGGAACCAGGATGCAAACTTTCATTTAAACACCCCTGCTCCATAATGTCTCCTCTGTTAATGGATACAGAGTGCCCCTCCCCACCATGTGTTATACTGAAACAGTCTTTATTCACAGACAGGGCGATCCCCTGTCTATTGTAATGTGTCTTTTTTACCTCCAAGGTTTTGATTGTTTGCAGTTATCTCTGATGGTTTTCTGTTGACAGTCCAGGGGTGGAGCAAGGCTAGACAACTGATCTTTGCATTATGTTACCAGCTAACCAGGCAGGGGTGACAACTCCCTCCTGCACCACGACATTATCCCTTGGTGACTGACTTTTACTCAAAGTCCACAAAGCATACTTTCACTATAGTTACATTATTCCTTAAGTACTACCTATACACTCATCTCACAATGACTATGAGTTTTGATAAGTTATGAGCTTTCTGT